TTTGCTGTTTCTGTTTGATTCCAGCTGCAGTTCCTGGTGCCACGGCTGAGCTCGGAGGCTCGGGCCGTGCTGGGTGAGGAGGCCCAAAGTGCCCTGAGCTGGAGCTCCCTGTCCTGCCCCTCTCTGAGCTACAGGAGAGCCAGCCTGGGCCTGTGGAGGCAGGCAGCCTTCCAGGAGCTCTTGAAGGAAAAGGCATTCCAGGTATGAATCTTTTCCATCACCCACCTTCACCCTCTAATTCTCTCACTGTTTTAGATCTGCCCTTTGCAGTTTCCTTATTGGTGATCAAAAGCTTCTTGTAAGAGCTGGGTGCCTGAAAGTAAGGACTGAATACCTGAAAAGTTGTCTGGCAGCTGAGTCATGAGGGCTGGGTGCTGTTTGATGGGGATGATAAGGTGGAAAGAGGAAACCAGAGGTAAAACTTTTGTGTCCTACTTCTTGGAAAGGCTTGGCAAGCTCAGGAAGTGCAGAGCAAAGGCCTTTCCATCACCCTGCTCCCTGCTCTGCTCTCCCAGAAGTGGTGGAGAGGCAAACAACTGGAAATCCTTGCTTTTCTGGTGCTGTGTGTAATGGCAATGTTCCCTGAGCCAGCCTGGCTCAAACCATCCCAGCTTTTCCCTTTGTACCACCCTTGCAAGGTCTCTGATTTGACAGAGTCTCTTTTTATAACCTACTTCCTCCAGAACCAGTTTGTGCAGAGGGGTTGGGTTGTTCCTGGAGCGGCTCCTGGTGCCTGGCTCAGTGTCCAGGGCTGGCACACCCTGGGATCCAACCTCCCTTTGGTGCCCACCCTGTCTGACTGAGGGGCTTGGCTCATTTTGCCTTCATTTCTAATAACACACAAGTTCATCCTGGTACCTGGGCCTGGAGGTGCTGAGTGTGTTGGGAAATGTCAGAAGTAAGGGTGTGAGACAGCCTTTATGGGATCCTATGGAGTTTTGAGGGCCAGCAGGGATTTTTAATTTTTTTTTTTAATAAGAGGAACAGCACAGGAACTTCCTTGGGTCGATGTCTCTTGTTTCACGTCTCTCAACCCACATGGAATTGTGTCTGGAGGTGGACTGGGTTTTGTGCTGGTGCCTGCTCTGCACGAGTCATTTCCCTTGCTGTGCCTCCCTGCTCCTGAGTCCTGGCTTTCCCAGCTGTCTTTCAGAGAGTGGCTGCTGCTGGAGCTGGAGGTGTGCCCTGCCAAGGACATTCTCTCTGCTGCAGAGAGGTGAGGCCGAGGGGCTCTGCTGGAGAGGGAATGGTGCAGGAGTGTCCCATCAAAATTAGGGAAAAGCTCTGAGGATCAGGGAGTAAATGAGCAGGTGCTGCAGGGTACAAATGCCTGATGCCTGCTGTGGCTTGTGCTGAGCTCAGGCCCTGCTGGGATGAGGGGTGTGTGTGTTTTCACCTGGGCAAGGCCAGCCTGGAGCAGCCTGGCCTGCTGGAAGGTGTGGGACTGGGTGGGTTTGAGATCATTTCCAGCCCAAACCATGCCATGGTTCTGTGGGCTCACCCTGCACGTGCAGCCCTTCCAAGCCACTTGTCACAAACCCTCCCTGACCCTGGAGGAGCTGGGTGGGGTCTGCTGGAGGGCTCCTCATGTCTGTACTCACCTGGAGCTTCAATCTGAGCTCACATCATTCACCTCTCTTGATGTGTGAGCTTCCTTCTGCATCAAGGGAAGGGCAGCATTCCAACATTTCCTGCTTTCCCCACTGCAGACAGGATTTCCATCACTGGGCCATCTATCAGAGGTTCCTCCCTGCACCTTCTGCTGCTGGTGGCTGTGATGGAGACCTGGAGAAGGCCTGTGGAGTCATCCTCAATGCCATCCTGGACTCCTCACACAGGTATTCAGGGCCATGCCTGCCCTCGCTGGTTCCTGCCCTGGGAGCTGTCCCTTCCTGGGGCTGGGGATGCCATTCCCTGCTGCTCTGCTCTGCTCTGCTCTGCTGGAAGGGGCCCTGGGAGGTGGCCCTGGGTCACTCCCAGGCCCTGCTGAGGGTGGCAGAGCTCTGGGGCTGCAGCCACAGAGGGGGCCTGTCTGGCTGTGTGTTTAAAGCTGACTTTGTACTCAGCTCTGTGTGGCCAGACAGGCAGCAATGCCCCCAGGGAGTGGCTGGAGCTGGAGAGCCAGGAGGGAGCTCAGAGGAGAGCCACTGTCTCAGCCACAGCTGATTTATGGCACAGTGTTTGAGCTCTGTGTTCTTCTGAAGCATCTGACTGTGCTGGGCTGTGCTTCCCCCTGGGCCAGCAGGGGCAGTGCCTCATGTGTCCCCAGCTGTCCCCAATTTCAGGCTGGAGCTGGGGGGCTGTACCCACTCGAGGACGTCGCTGAGCCCCGAGATCCTCTGCAGGCTGCAGGTGATGATTCCACACCCTGGGGTGGCTGTTTGGTCCTGGAACCTGACCAAAGTACCCCCTCATGCTCACTGTGACCTGTGAGCTGAGCTGTGGGGACTGAGGGGGGTTTTTCTTGTTGCTCTCTGGTTGCTCCAGAGGATCAGAGGGGGTTTGGGAGCAGCCTGGTGCAGTGTGCCCCTCACTGTTCCCCATCCCCTGTTCAGGAGCTGGTGCTGGAGCTGAGGTGCAGGCCAAAGCTGCTCCCTGGCTGCTCAGCTGCCCAGAGACCCGTGGTGCTGGAGCTGCTGCAGGGGAGGCTGGCAGGCACAGAGCCACAGCAGGGATCTGCCCTGGGCCAGCAGCTCTGGAGGCAGCAGGAGCTGCTGCTGCACAGGAGGTGAGAGCAGCCCTGGGCACTGGGGAGGCCTCCGGGGCAGGCTGGGCTGTGCAGGGCCCTCCTCTCTGCTCCACAGCAGGTGACAGTGACACTGCATGCCTGGGGACAGCCTTGCAAGGGACACTCATTCCCTGGCACCCACTGGGATTAGCTGTGTGCTTATTCCATGTGCCATCCTGGGCTGCCCTGTGTGTCACACACCTTCCTGGAGGCTGATTCTGCCCCTGGCAGTGACCCCAGCTCTCCTCCTTCCCTGCCCAAGGGTTCTGCTGGGGCTCCCTGCATCCACCCTGGTCACCACGTGCTGGAAAGGGAACAGAGCAGTGCTGGACTGTGACAGCTTCTTCTGTTTTGTGAACTCTGAGCTGGTAGGTGCTGTGAGCCCAATGGTGATTGCTCCTTGCTAAAGGTGCTCTAGATAAAGATTAAATTTGAATTTAGGGAAGGAGGTCACATCCAGACTGCCCAGAGGAGGTGTGGCTGCCCCAGCCCTGCCAGTGTTCAGGACCAGGCTGGAGCAGCCTGGTCTGTGGGAGGTGTTCCTGCCCATGGTCCCTTCCAAGCCAATCACTCCATGATTCTGGGCCTTCATTTGGAATTGTGGTGGCATTTGACACTATGGAGAGCAAATCCTTGGGAGTCCCTTTGTTTGGTGAAGTGGGTTATAGGAAATCTTACAGTGCTTCTGGGAGGCCTGGGAGGGGCCGAGCACGAGCCCTTCTCCCATCCCTCCCTCATGCCAGGGCCTTGAACTGTTTTGCTGTAGAGTGAGATCCTCCCCATCCTCCTGAGCAGCACCAGGGGCATCCCTGCAGCTTGCAGGTCCCTCAGGAGCCTGCTCTGTGCTCCAAGGAGAGCTGATTTCTATTTATCCATCCTGGCTGCCCTTTCAGGCCCTCCTGAGCAGCCAGAATCCTCTGTTCCCCCAGGACTGGATCCATCTGCTGCTGCACTCTGGGGCAGGGGCTGCCAGCCCTGCACCTCCCACCAGCTCAGCTGATGGTCCCCAGTCCCAGGGGGTTCCTCTGTGCTGGCAGAGCCCCAAATGCTCTCAGAAAATCCTGTTCCAAGGGGAGGGAGTGATGGTTTTGTTGATTCTGTTTCCCTGCCCTTGTGTTCCTGCAGAAGAACGTCAGCTCCAGGGGCTACGCGCTCTCCTTCGACATCACTGCTCACTTCTTCAGGGTGAGTGATGTGCTCCTGTCCTCGGCCTGCTGGGCCTGTCAGGGCTCTGCTTTGCTGCTCCTGGCCCTGTCACAGCTTTCCTCCTTTGCTGCTGCTGTCCTGTGCTCCTGATCCTGACAGAGCTTTCCTTTGCTGTTCCTGTTCTGTGCTCCTGGCCCTGTCAGAGCTTTCCTTTGCTGTTCCTGTTCTGTGCTCCTGGCCCTGTCAGAGCTTTCCTTCTTTGCTGCTCCTGTCCTCGGCCTGCTGGGGCTCTCCTTTGCTGCTCCTGGCCTCTGCCCCCTGGCCCTGCCAGAGCTCTCCTCCCAGCACACGGGGTGCAGAGGAGCTCTCCTCCTTGGCCCCCTCCTTTTGAGAACTCCTGATTAATCCCCAGAGGAGCAGGAACCAGGGGAGCGAGGGGGAGCGGCGGGAGGAGGCGGTGCTGGAGCAGGATTTCAATACAATGCAGCAAAGCCGTGCGGGGAGGAGCCGCTGGCTGATGCTGCTTTTGCTGGGCCGTGCTGACCCCTACAGTTGTCTCTGATTAGTTTGCACAGCTCAGCGATGGATTGGAGCAGCACACGGGGGTGTGTGGAGCCATCGTGTCCCTTGTCCCCCTGCAGGGCCTGCTGAGTGCCAGCCTGGACTGTGAGGATGCAGCAGGAGGGGTCAGCGAGGCTCTGGCCGCGTGTCAAACCGAGTGTCCCGTGGTGCTCCTCTCTGCAGCGGTGACTGAGCTCATCGTGGGGCTCTGGTCTGGGGGAAATGCAGCTCAGGGAGCTGGTGTAAACACTATCCACCTGTGTGACATTCCACAGAAACTCCCAAAGCCTTTGGAAATTGTGTTTCCAGGGTGGTTTTGAGCCCTGGGTACCTCTGATCCCAGCCCTGGGCTCCTGGGTGCTGCCAGGGGCTGTGTCAGAGTGGAGCTGGGAGGTTTGTCCTGGTCTCTGATGCCCTGCGTGGGGTGTTTGTTACATCCAAGCAACCAAACTGCCCCAACCCCCAGGTTTTATTCCCTGTCCTGTGTGTAATAACTCCCTGTGTGCAGTTTTCCACAGGGATTCATGCTTTGGTGCATGTGTTGAGCTTGGCCATCACCCTGTGGAGCAGCTCTTTCATTCTGGCTGTTCCTGCAGAGCAGTCCCAGGGGCACCATGGTGTGAGCATGGTCACAACTGACCCTCTGCATTTCCAGGATGTGAAATTTCTCCATTTCTGATGTCTGCATGCACAGCGTGGGCATTTTCACTGGGCAGAGGGGAAGATCCCCTTTTCCTGAGTGCCTGGCTGTACCTGACTGTGAGCCCTGAGCCCCCCACTCTAATGCTGCTGTTCCCATCTGTGTCCCCAGCTCTGGTGGCCGAGGCTGGAGCCAGCACTTTGCTGCCAGTGGAAGAGGCTCTTTGGGGGTCCCCTTGCAGGAGAACTGGCCAGGCTGAGGGGCTGGCACAGCTCAGGCACCAGGTGGGTGTGAGGGATGGGGCAGGAGCTGCTCTCCTGGGCTGAGGCTGCCGGGACAGACAGACAGACAGACAGACAGACAGACAGACAGACTCCTCTCACTCCAAGTGGGTGAGGATGGCTCAGTCTGGCCCTGTGTGTGGTGTGGGTCACAGTGCTCCCCCCTTTGCTGCCTGGATTTGGGGATCTTGGCTCCTGAAGCTGCTCCCTGGCTGCTTCCTCCTGTGCCTCTCCCTACACTGTCAGTGCCCTGCAGCTTTTCTGCAGAATTGGGAATTTGTGCAAGGATCTCCTGGCAGGTTATGGCAGGTGATGATCACATGCTGCTGTAGTGTGGAGTCACTGATGATGAAAGGGATTGGAGAATGCTGCTGTCTGCTTCTAGATTTGGCTTTTTTACAGCTGTCTCCATGTAGCATCATTCTCCAAAACTAAGAGAATGATTTATCTTCTTGTCCCAGTCACAATTTGCACCTTTACCCAAGTCCCCGATTTCCTCCTCATTCCCAGCAGGATTTTCCCCGTTTTCCCCTGCAATCCCATGCCACGTTTGTTCTGTTTGCAGGTTCCTCTGCTCAGGAGCAGCTTTCCCTGCCTCTGACCCGCCCTGGCTCTCAGCTGCCTTCCTGCACGGGGCCCTGCTGCAGCACTCACCCCGAGGGACAGAGGCACTGCACAGGCTGGGCCCTGGGGCAGAGCAGGCAAGGCTGGGGGCACTCCATCCATCCATCCATCCATCCATCCATCCATCCATCCATCCATCCATCCATCCATCCATCCATCCATCCATCCATCCCTCTGCTCTCATTTCATCCCTCTGCACCTGAAAACCACAAACAGGAGGTCTCTGGCTCAGAGGAGCTGTCCTGAGTTAGTGCTGCACCCCTGGTAACCTCTGCTGGGAATTCTTGCTGCTGGATAGTTGATAAAAGTGCCTGTAAATTGCCAGGTGCTAAATTCTTATCCTCGAGGCAAAGTTGTTCCAAGCTTCAACTTTTACCTCAGGCTCTGGCTCCTGGGAGGGCTGTGAAGGTTGTTCAACAGCTGCTTTGAAAACTGGAGCTGGACAGAGCCCTGCAGAGAGGGAGAGCTCAGTCCATGGTGCCAGGATTGCCTCTCCCTCCAACAGGAGCAGTCCTTGTGGGTTTTAGCTCTTGGCTGGGAAGTTGAGGAGATGCAGGGTTTTGTGAGACAGCAGTGCAGGCATTTTGGGGCTCTGGGAAGTTGTGCTGGGATTCCCAGAGAGGGATTTCCTGAGGGTTTGCCCAGGTGTGGGGCAGGAGGTGGCTCAGGCCGTCACCTCAGTGCGGGGAATTCTTTGGAAGGGGAATTCTCTGGAGGGCTCTGCTGAGGAGGAAGCTGGGCTGCTGATTTCCAGGGAAGAGCCAGGGTCAGAGCTCAGCCTTGGCAGTGTCCCTGTGCCAGAGGGACACGGGTGACAGGGCTGAAGCAGAACCTCAGGCTTGCTCTGGAGGTTTCCTTGCTGCAGGCAGCAGCTCCTCTCTCTGTGGGATTGTGCTGGGCTGGAGGCAGAAGGTGCCAGCCAGGACCTGGTGTCACTGAGAGCACACAGGGAATAACTGCAGCTCCCACCTCAGAATCCCTGCAGGGTGAATTGAGTTCCTGCCAGGGGCAGTGAGAGCCATGGGAGGGCTGGGGGTACCTGGGGTCTGTGCTCCATCAGGCTGGGAAGGCACCTGGAAGGTGAAATGTTGAAATTCCCCAAGTTCCAAGTCACCATCACAACTCACAGGCTGCCTCTTTTCCTTGCAGCTCCTGGTTGCTCTGCTGTTCTTCTCACTGCTGGATCTCATCTCAGCCAGAATAGCACCAAAGGTGAGCTCAGCCCCATGGAACTCTGCTGACACTGGATGTGTCTCATCAGCGTGGTGTGCTGCCCAAAAATGCTTTGTGGGAAGGCTGGGAGCTGGTTCTGCCAGGAGGAAGGGATCGGCAGCACCCCAGACAAGGCTGCTGGAAGCCCTTCTGTTCCCATCAGATTAAACCTGCCTTTTCCTCTCTCCCTGACATTATCTCCCCTTCCACTGCTTTTATTCCTGCTCCTGGCTGATTTATTATTTCCAGTTTGCTGTTCAGACTTTTCACCTCCCAGGTAGTGCAGGAGCCTGGTGTCTCACTCAGCCTCTGTGCAGATCTCACATCTGTCAGATGAGGCTTTTCCTCAGACTGCATGGCAGAAGGGCTGCCCAGGAAGGAGGAGCAGCAGTTTCCAAATGGTTTGATGTTGTCTGTGAAGGAGCAGAGATGACAGAGGATGCAGATGCAGGATGCAGAGCTGCCTGTGGAGGCTTGGTTCTGTCCCTGTGTGTCACCTCAGCTGTGGAGTGCAGCCATTTGGGGAGTCACCTCCCAGAGGGGCTCGGGGAGCAGATTCAGGCACAAGGAACCACCTGGTCTCAGTCTGCCCTTGGGAGAGCCTGGGGGAAGAGCCAGGGAGGAGAGAAACACCCTGGGCAGGCAGAGCTGGGGTTAATGCACTGAAATGAGTAATGAAAACAAACCCCACAATAGCCCCAGGACATGGCACTAGAGAGGTCAGGGGGGACAGGGGCTGCTCCATGGGGTGGGTGCAGGATGTGCAGTGGTCTCTTGGCTAATCCAGCTTGGATGGGGCTTGCAGCAGCCTGGGCTGGTGGAAGGTGGCCCTGCCATGGCAGAAGGGTGGGATTGGATCATCTTTAAGCTCCCTTCCAACCCAAACCATTCCATGGTGCAGCTTTGCCCTCTCTCAGCCCTTGGTGAGGAGGGCACTGCCTTGCTCTGGTGCCCAATTCCCTGGGGGAACCCAGGCTGCAGGTGAGGGGAAGATTTGGGGTGAACTCCTGGGGTCCTTTGGCAGAGCCCTTCACGTGCAGCCCCTTGTGGGGGCTCCTCCCTGCTCTGATGCAAGCACGGCCCAGGAGCAAGGAGAGCTCTCCTGTGTGACTCCCAGGAAGGAGTGGATTTCCAGACCTCTCTGGAATGGTCCCTGCAGATCCTGCAGTGCCTGCGAGGGAGGGGCACAGCCTGGCCCCTGCTCTTCCAGTCAGCAGAGGGAGGTGAGTCCTGTCCCCAGGGGCTGCAGGGACGTCCTTGCCTTGGGGTGTCCCTGGCAGAAGGGGCTGCTGGGCCCTTGGAAGCTGCACAAAAACCACTTGTGTGAAAGCTGAGAGCATCCTGCTCCTGTCCCAGAGCGTGGCAGTCCCAGCTGATGGTCAGGAGTGCCTGAACTCAGCCTTGTCAGGCAGAAAAAGCCTGAGGGGACAATTTCCTTCTCTTGCTGTCACCACCCCTGAGCACCACCTGCATTTACTGCGGCCTGGAAGGCAGCTGTGCAGCCCCTGTGCTGCTGCAGGGCCAGGAGGGGTGAGGGGGGGCTCTCTGAAGGTCTCAGTGTCCCTGCTGTCCCCTCAGTGCTCCTCCTGTCCCTGCAGCCCCCGGGAGCTTCCACGTCCTGCACAGAGCGGCCTCGCAGCGGCACACCCGGCTCCTGCCCCTGGCCTTCTACAGGTACTGGGAGGGGCATGGGGCATGGCTGGCACCCACAGCAGCTGGCACAGGGGTGCCAGCACTGCTGGCCTGTGGGTGAGCACAGTCAGCCCTTCCCTGAGGCACAGAGAGCCTCGGCAGGCTCAGTGCTGTTTGAGGAGCCCTGGAGCTCTTGCCAAAGAGCTGTGCCAGCAGTGTCCCTTCAGCCCTGCGCTCCAAACACGAGGTCTGGGAGCTGCCTTTGCCTCCTGGGATGCCACGGCACTCAGTCAGACATGGCAGAGCAGCAGCTGTGTGTGTGCCACGGCCCCAGAGCTAACAGAGCCCGTGTGTGACCCCTCCAGCCTCACCCCCGGCTTCCAGCAGGAGCTGCTCCAGCAGGAGCCCACCTTCCTCAGCGTGGCTCTCCAGATGTACATCCAGCTGCTGCAGCTCTTTGTGGAAGGGCAAGTCCTGCCACAGTCTGATCAGGACCCCACTGAGCACGTAAGCAAAGCCTGGACTCTTTATTCTCCTGTCATAGATTCCCAGAATGGTTTGGGCTGGAAATCACCTTAAACCTCAGCCTGTTCCACCCCCTGCCCTGGGCAGCGGCACCTTCCACTGTCCCAGGGTGCTCCAAACCCCATCCAGCCTGGCCTTGGGCACTGCCAGGGAAGGGACAGCCACAGCTGCTCTGGGCACCTGGGCCAGGGCCTCTCACAGAAACATTTATTCCAAATACCCAGTCTAAATCCACCCCTCTCCAGCTCAAAACCTCTTGTAACTGATCACGTTCTTCAGCTCTTCCCTGCAGCAGCACTTGCAGCATCTCTCTCATTCCCACCTTCCCATGCTCCTGCAGGTTCCTCATCCCCTGGGACAGAGAGAACTGCCAGGGCTGCTCCCAAACCCCAAACAGCCCCTGCCCTCTGAGCTGGGACAGCCTCGGCTGTGGGGTCCCAACAGGGCTGTGGCTTCTGCTTCTCTTCTGGAGCAGGGACTGAACTGAGGGTGATATTTTGCCCACACTGTCACTCTTGTGTCGTGCAGGATCCCTTGGAGCTGATCTCTGCAGCCCGGCAGTTCCTGCTGGGAGCCATCCCCCACTGCCCTGCCCGGAGCCTTGGCAACATCCACCCGGTATGAGCCGTGTTCCCCTTATCCACCCGGTGTGAGCTGGGAGTGCTGCTGCAGCTCCCCGGGCACTGATCCCCGACCTGTGCTGAGCCCGTGCTGCTCTGACCCACCTGGGGATGCTCTGTCTCATCTGGGGATGCTCTGTGCCCCCCTGACCCACCTAGGGATGCTCAGTGCCCCCCTGTCTCACCTGGGGGTGCCCAGTGCTGCTCTGACCCACCTGGGGATGCTCTGTCTCACCTGGGGATGCTCAGTGCCCCCCTGACCCACCTGGGAATGCTCTGTGCCCCCCTGACCCACCTGGGGATGCCCAGTGCTGCTCTGACCCACCTGGACATGCTTTGTGCTGTTCTGTCTCACCTGGGAGCAGGGGCACCCCTGGTGCCCAGCCGTGCCATGGCCTCCTCCTCCACATCCTCCACCGTTCCCAGCACATCCAGCCCTGCCCTCCTGTGGCCGTTCCCACTCGGTCCAAGGGAATTGTCAGGCACAGCCACGGCCATGAGTGGAGTTTCCCCCCTCCTCTGCCTGTGCTTGGCTGAGAAGGCAGCAAAAGGCCCCGGTGCTGCTGGAACTGGCCTTGGGGAGGCTGGAGCAGCTCTAACCTGGCTCCCTGCCCTTCCCCAGCTCCTCAACACCTGTGAAGAACTGGACCCCGAGCTGGCAGCCACCCTTCGGCACTTCTGCCGGCCTGCTGAGGACGTGGAGCTGGAGGAGGAGCTGGAACTGTTCTGAGGAATGGACTCAGCCCAACACCTCACACCTGACACAAGGAGCCACCTTTCTCACCTGGGCCATTTTTTTTTTTCAAATTACTTTGTAAATAATTTATTACAAGCATAACCATGGAGCTCTTGTTACAATAAAAAGTAGGTTACAAATTTTCAGTTTAGACTTGCTTTGGGACTCATAATTATGATGTTGGTTTGTTGGTTTTTTGTTTTCCTTCTTCTTTTCCAAAACAAAATGTCTCCTTGAAGTTGTCCCACTGTCCTCTGTCCCCCTGGAGCCCCCAGGGTCACCTCTGTGCAGGCAGGGGGCAGTTGTGGCCAACTTGGTTTGCACAAGGTGTGCGTGGGGCTGGGGGACACGGCGGTGCTGCCAGCGTCCCTCCCCGGGGTTAGAGTACAACACTGCTGAGTCAGACGTGAGCATGGCAATCACTGCATGAGAACAAGCCTTTCTGAGCAAGCTGAAGCTAATTCCACCGAGTTCTTTGGGAGACTAAAACGTAGATTAAAAATCTCCGGTGCCGGATGGCTCCTACGGGGCCGGGC